AAATTCCAGCACGCGACCTGAAGCCTGCAATCACAAAGAGCATACACAAGCGCGCACAAGAGGTAATGTTCTGGGAAGATATAGGACACTTCTGCGCCAGGTTCCTGATTCATTTTTCCCTTTGCGCAGAGAATGAAATCACTCAACTTCTTGAAGAAGGATCTTTCTTAATAAGTCATATTTGTATAAGGTGCACTTTACACTTCAATGGATGGATATTATTATTAAAAAAGTCATTTATCACAAAAAGCCAGCATTATTCTATTCCCATGTGGATTAGGAATTATGAAAGGAATATTTCCCTTGTGTCTTTTCATTTCCGGAAACAGTATTCCTCATCAGTGCCCCGTTTTCAAATGCATCCAAATAACAGTGAATTTACCAGGTTATACTCCAAAAATGACAACATACAAGTGAGCATATCACACTGTCCAACTCTCCGAGACCCTCTTGAAGATAAAAAAAAAAGAAAAGGAAGCACTTTCCATAATGCCCATGTCCTTAATGCATTATAAACATACTTGTAATACCTTAAAAATAGTCATAGTTATAAGTTTTCATAAATATACAAAAACATTCTTTATAACAACAAATATCACTTAAAATAAAACATTTCATAATGACTTCTAAGGTCAAGTTTCATAATAATTAATAATTTCTGGTCACTTGGACATTTTAGATTATGTTTCCAGCTGGGTTCGGTTGTTTGTTTGCCTGACAGCAGAACTACAGAGAAACAACAAGCCTGATTGTCACAACATCTTGTTAAAGGTTATAGAGAGGCGAAGTCCCTCCCTTTCCGCGGGAGCTCCATGGGACCTTATTTCGGGAAAAAAAGTATGTATTGAAGTCAATGGGGAGAGAAAGATTATCTTTCGATCCCGTTTGAATTGAGCCACGAATTACACATATGATGTTTGTCAATTTAAAAGATAATTTTGTAAGTCAAAAAAATAAAAATGTGTCGTAAAACTGTGAAGTAACACCTTTTTTTTTGTGTGAAACCGCTCAATGAACTACATCTCCCGTCTCGCACCACACACCAAGACGGCCGTCACGTTGGCACATTTCACTTCTTTCTTTCAGAATGAGGCGGAAAGTATTAAGAGGTGAAAATCACTACAAGTCTGGGCATGTTGAGAGCTGTATACACACAAGGGGAGTTAGTCGGTTCGTAAGAGCCAGCGTGCGGGACTGGGATTCTGGGATTTGTAGTCTTTCTAGTTGCGTATTTTTCATAGTCTTATATTTCAACAGCTTTACGACAAACTGTGACTTTTTTGACATTGAAATTATTTTTTAAATTGACAAACATCATATGTGTAATTCGTGGCACAATTCAAACGGGATCGAGAGATACGTTTTCTCTCTCCATTGACGTCAATACATACTTTTTCCGAAATAAGGTCCCATGCAGGTCCCCGGAAGGGGAGGGACTTCGCCTCTTGTGGGACAGGGAGGAATCCGTCACATTTCGGAGCAGATCCAAATCAAGATGCTGGTTTTAATTCCATTCGAATTGTGCCATGAATTATACACTTAATTCTTGTAAATGTAAAGGATTTTTCATCAAGTCAAGTAGCGAACTAGCAAGCCAAGGTACCGGCTGACGTATATTGTGTGGGACATAAATGCTTTTCTTAAAGCAAACAATTATTACTTATTGTAACTTAAAGCAGCTTCGAATGTATTATATCTGCCTATAACTCTAAAATTAGTTTACTTAAAGGTGGGGTAGGTAATTTTGGAGAAACTGGCTCGAGATCGCTAGAATTTGAAAATACACAACCGGAGAAAATCTGCCACTTCCTTATAGAGCCCCTCCTCCAACACACACGAACGCGCACATGACCAATGAGGGCACAAGATAAGTTTGTGCACAGATGGAAGGCTGACGGGCAGGTAGGCCATCCAGTTATTTTAGCCGGGCCGGCTAAAATGATTGGTCGTGCTTTTTACAGTATTTCGGCTTCCACAGATGACATTTTTTTATGGATTTTTTGTCAAAGCACTTAAGATATTCATTGCTATCGGGATGTTAAGAGCAGTCCATGGAATATAACAAAAAGTGTATCTCGAGCCGGTTTCTCAAACTTACCTACCCTACCTTTAAAGCACCAATGAGACCAACTTTTAATCACAATTCTTTCTTAAAGAAAATGTATTTCTTTAAGAAAGAATACAAAAAAGAATATTTATATGTTAATAATTTAGTTTTTGGGAGAAGGGGTGGGATGAAATAAGTGTAAACTTCTTCCCACCCCTTTTCGGATGTGTAATTAAGTAGAGTAATATTTTTGTATATCAATTTGCCACTGCTTATTTTTTGTATTGTATAATAATTCTCATGTTACATTTTTGTATTATTGTTTTACACATTCTAAATAAATCTGATCAAATCAAAATCACATTTTAATGCATTATCAACAATTATAATGCATTATAAAAAAGATTAATATTCCTTATAACATTTTTAAAATGTATTACAAAGTATAATAGATATAATACACTGGTACAACAAAATAATCAGCGAGAAACAATTATGTAACGTATTGCTGATACATGACCTAAGTCATTAAAAAATGCTTTACATGTTAATTAATACTATTGTTATAAAGCATTACGGAAATCTACAAGTGCTTAAAACTATAATTAAACCGTGATTTAAGCAGCTTGTAACGAATTGGAACTATGTTTATAATGCATTGTAGAAGTGGCACAGTAAAAAGTGTTACCAAAGAAAACACTGCAAATATGATTATTCCAAACCGAACAAAACAACAAAAAGAGTTATTGATTCTTCTTTTGCTCCTGTTGACAAAGTGCGTATTGTGTCTATGTCCTCATTGGCTGGTGACGGTCTCAGCACAACCAATAAAAAGTGAGATAGGGAGGCTTTGAGAACATCACTCAGCCTGCAAACACGTGTAAACCCCTCGAGGGGGGGGAACACTGATCAATTAAGTGGTCCATTTTATAGTAGGGTCCTTTTAATGTTGTGTGTGTGTGTGTGTGTGTGTGTGTGTGTGTGTGTGTGTGTGTGTGTGTGTGTGTGTGTGTGTGTGTGTGTGTGTGTGTGTGTGTGTGTGTGTGTGTGTGTGTGTGTGTGTGTAAAAGGAGGCCGTGTGAGAACAACCACATCACAGCAGCACAGAGAAGGTGAGCAGGCACAGCAGTCAGTCAGCACAGACACCACAAGCCAGTTATTCAGAGTCCCGGAACAACATCATAGAACAAAGAGATATTAGACGAAAGAAGGGGGGGGGAGGGAAAGCGTGAAGGACAACAGCTGTCCCCCCCCCCCCCCCCTCCCCCATCCACAACACCTCGCTCCACCGGTCCTCTCTTCCCCCCCGACGAGATAAAACGGTTAGACATGGAAGATCAGACTGCGGGTTAGTGGAAAGCGGAGTCTGTTTTCAGGCAATGCTTTAATCAATCCTGTAAGAGTTAAGGATACAGGAGCATGCAAGGCAGACCCAGGCTTTGTTTTGCATTGCTTATGTTTCAGGGTGACTGCTACAACCTGGAGAAGAAAAGAGAAATACAAACAATTAAAAGAGAGAGAATAAAATAATAAAAGAGAGAAAAGAGCAAAGGGAAACACAACGTTAGACGGTTAGTGAAAGTGATACAGTGCAGAAAGCATCATTGTAAAGCAGCAGGATATTACATACACACAGATTACTTAAGGGATTATACTTCGGGATTATACTTTGTAAAAAGCTAGCTGTTACAGTTTATTTAAAGATTCACTTCATCATTTTATGAAAGTTAAGTCATTTGTATTGTTTTCTCTTAAGCGGACACTACAGGTAAATCACATTTTTACATTCAAGTTAACTGAAATTTAAAATATTTAAATGACCTATTATCTTGTATATGTTCACATTTTCATGCTTTTCCAGAACAGAAATATAATCATAAGATGTTCAAAAAGCTGGTTTCATTTGACTAACATCGAACGGTGCGTCTACACAGCAGCGTTAAAAAAAATCTTGAAACGCTTCTGCCCATTCACTTTGAATGGGGTGACGTCACTTTCCCTCACTTTTCGCCGAACTGCATTGTGGGCAGGCGAGCGGAGATTTTCAGGATTTTCAGGATTCAAAGTTGAACAATGTTCAACTTTTGAGGCTGAGGTGGAAGCGTCAGCCAATCAAATCCCGTGTACGCAAATCTGACAGTTCAAGCTCTAGCCAATCAAACGGCGTGTATGCTGGGAGAGACATACCGCAGGTCATTTCCTCATATTCCAAAAAATGGAGGAGAAATTAGCGGTAGCGAATCACCCGGTGCTTTATGACCAGTCCCTATTTACCTACCGGGATATAAACCGGAGGAGCCTGGCATGGAGGGAGGTGGCAGAGACAGTGGTAGGTTTTCGCCTGTTTGGGGAGTTTATATCCAGTTTACTTCGGGCTTTTTTGCTTCGTATGTCGCGGGCGGGAGATTCATGTGATTGGTTGTTCGTGCCTTGCTCGCAAAAAATCCTCAAGCTTCAGATACGCCCACCTCCAAGATTTTTTTAACGCTGCTGTGTGGACGCACCGTTAGAGTCCAAATATTTCCATAAAATGTGTTTTTGGATGTTTTCTTTCCACTAAAGAATACGTTATGCAACTACAATAACCCAATATTGACCAGTGCATGAAAAGCTATATTTATCTTCACATCGCAAAGAAAACAAGCTTGTATTTCTCCCATCATACAGCTAATCAAAACTGGCATTTAACTAGGATTGATAGTGAAGCCTTCACTGCTGGTTTTAAAAATGTTTTTAAAATGGTAGACTCGAAGTAGAAAATGATTAGCGGTTTGTGAGAAAGCAAATCATAAATAAGAAGTGGAAAACCAGTGGGAAACATGATGTAAAGTTGTAAATGAATGCGTACATTAAAGTGAAATAGCTGGTGCAGCAAATAACAGGAATAACACACACATATATGATATATAATGCAACACTTTTCCCTCAAGTGACAATAATCAGGAGTCTTGTGTGACAGTGAATAAATCAAACTTTACAATTCACATTGACATATTTAAACCACAATGTTCACATTCCATTAGAGAGCGAGGTTAAAAAGGAATTATAAATGATTTCAAACCTACAGTATGTAACTGATATTATCTACCAAATAAGACTGTGTAACCCTAACCGTTAACCCTAAGGCTCATCACTGAGGAGCCGATGTACTACAAGCAAACAGAAGATATACGAATATGTGAGATATCTTTTCTGGTTTCACGCTTCTAGTCTCTTCTCATCGTCCTTAATTGTTGGATACGTACTCTGCAGACTTCCAGAAGTGTCCGGGGTGTGAGAGCCGGCGGTTGAGTTTGGGCAGCTTCTCCAGCATGTCGGCCAGCTGGGTGAAGGGGGGGCGGTCCCTCAGGTCGTACGCCCAGCAGGCAGACAGGATCTCCTGAGACACAGAACACTTTGAGAAGGACGCTGAAGGACACGCACTCTGTGGCTCTGGACCATACCATATGATACCATGATACTTGATTTTCAGACCAAGTCTGACATTCAGATAGAAAGCTTATATGCAACGTCAACAAGGACAAATGATTAGACTGGAAACCCAGAAACAGATCTATAACGGAACATTACAATCACTAAAAACAACATGTTAAGATAAGGTACTGGTGAACTAACTTCATTAAATCGTGGGACCCTGTATCTCCGATTTGATGGCAATAATTCATATTAACTATTTCCAAAAACAGATGATGATAGATCTTAAAAGTGTTTACAACATCTACATCTTTCTGCATCACCAGAGCACAGGTGACTGATATAAGCAGAATAATCATGAACCTGTCTCAGTGTCACAGTTTGTGTTTGTACTCACAGAGACCTCCTTGCCGAGGCTAATTTCCGCCAGGACCTTCTTAATGCCCTCTCCGCTGCCCACCTGCCAGATGGTAGCTTCCACATGCTGGTTGGTGATTGGCCAGTCCCTTGCTTGAAGCTCGTACCAAATGGTGCTGAAAGGAGGGAGGGGGGAAATGAAGAAGAATGATTCATCTGTCCCGTAAGCTCTCAGACAGACGCAGGTGTGACAGGAGTGTGCAGAACTCACCCAAAGGCGTACACATCTGCCGAGGTGGAAAAAGGAAGTTGGTCCTCGTTGTTACCCGGGCTCATCCTGCGCACAATCTCCGGGGCGAGGTAACAAATCCAGCCATGTGGAAGTTTGAGTTTGTTCTCACGCCTGGAAAAACAAACGGGGGAAAAATGGGTACACATTTGTCAGAAACAAATCAAATGGAGTGGAAAATCTGATCATTAACTAGAGTGGAAAATACATTAACTAAATGTAGTCCACCTCCAATTCCTGTGTACAAAAGCTATCCATGAAGCAAAGGGAGTGTTTTTTCTCCAATTTTACAATCAGGAGAAAAATAGTAGCTTTCAAGTGAACTGCCTGCAGGACTCAGGAATGATTACAAATCACTGCATCTCTCCATCTCGCAGTGCGGTGTGAAGAGCTCTCTGTGTCACTTTGTGTTTTTAAGGCCTCGAGAGTTTCTTACCTCCCCTCCTGAACCACTCCAGAGATCCCAAACAGCCCGAAGTCAGTGATTATGACTTTATTGGTGTCATGAAAAACGTTCTTCGACTTCAAGTCTTTGTGAACAATGCCTTTAGCGTGCAGATAGCCCATTCCCTGCGTTGGAAGACAAACGACCGTTATAAATGATTATAGTCCTATTTTTCTGCGGAATGGCTTTTTAATGCCGGCAACATGCTCTTTTAAAATGAAACATAAACCATACATCAATCAGCAATTCCACATATTTGGCTTTATATACGGATTTCCTGTTTCTCAGAATGAAAGTATATTTAGCTGCTTGTGGACATCAAATGTGGCTTTGACATTTGTTGTGCTTAAATTATTACAAATGCATCAATATGTGTTCTGATAATAGATATAGAAGAAACATTACCTTTACAATCTCCTGAGCAATTTGTCTGGTCTTATTAATATCCAAAGTGTTTTTAGTGTCTCGAACAACTGAATACAGTGTTCTCCCTTTGCAGAAACTGTGGAAAAAGAAGAAGAAAAGATTCAATTTAAAATAAGAAACGTTTATTTGGTAGGGGTAAAATCACAATACAATATTAGATCAATTATTTGGACAATGATATAATATGTGCCTATATCACAATGTTTACCCTAATATACTAATAGCTAAAAAGAGCATAAAGTGTTGTAAAAAGATCAGATTGTATTTCTTCTCTGTAAGCTGTTCTGTTCTGTAGGCTAATACTTTAAGAGTGAATATATACTCCTACTGCCTGAATCTGCTTTATGGTTTTCACTTTCTTTGGTTCTTTAGTAGTGCGTGAGCTTAACTGTGTGTATGAAACTAAAACTGATCATTTTCTATCAGCTCAGATTTTATTTCTGCTTTTTTAAACTGTAGTATGTGCTCATGTGTTTCAGTGTTGGTGTAGAGGCTACTGCCTGAATGTGCTTCATGAAAGGCAGGATTTCCTATAAATAAAATAATTTCTGATCCTAAATATCTTGGTTTCTTCTTTTCTAGGGTTACATTTTTCTGTTACATAATACATTTCAACATCTTATAGATATTTATTTTCTCTTGTATCTATTTGCATTTTATATTGAGGTAATCCAAAAGTAACGGAAAGTAATCCGGTCACATTACTTTTTTAATTGATACTCAGATTAGGTTACTGATTACATTTTTTTTTACAACCCCCCCAACCTTGCAGACAGCATCATAAAGTACTTACATTAAACACATCAGTTGCATTTATATCAACTCTACTATTAAAGGCCACATACAGTATCTCATGTGTAAGCATTTTTAGGGGAGGAAGTGCACTTTTAAGACAGATGCCCCCATGTTCAAAATAAAAGTGAGTTTTAAAGATGAGGATAGCCAACAATGATATTAGGTCATTGGACTCTGAATCAATCCATATTGATACCAAGCTCTTGGGTTAAAATCATCTTAGAGGTGCGTTCCATGTTCCTGCTCTCACCTCGTGATGATGGCCAGGTGGGGGGGGGCCATGCAGGCCCCCATGAAGAGGACCACGTTCTCGTGCCGGGTCTGTCTGTAGTTCATCACCTCCTTCTTGAAGAGCTTCAGATGGTCCTGGTTGTTCCCGTCGATCTCCAGCAGCCGGATGGCCACCTCTCCGTGCCACCGCCCTTTGTGCACTTTGCCCCAGCGGCCCTGAACAACACAGCATGTTAGAGCCACTATTTGGTTTGTATAAGAAAGGCCACCTAATTGTGAGGTCTGTAGTCAACAGAGTATAAAAGACTACAAATCCCACGGAGTCTCATCTCAAAGTGACAGAGATGGGCAACCTGTTAGAAAGACACCATAGAGGCACAGTTTTTAACCGTTCAATTACCCTTTAAAGGTCCCCTATTAGACTGTTTTTCATCAATATATTATAGGTCTCAGATATATACAAAACATGTCTCTGAAGTGTTGTGCTGATTCTCTGTCTGTTAATTTAGATGAAAATAAGGAGCCCCTCCCCATGCCCCTCTGAGAGATATTTGGTTCAAAAGAACACAATGGTGCTCTAGGAGGAGATTCAGGTGATAAGGTGTGTGGGGGGGGTTACCTTGGTTGGTGATTGGCTAATGGTTACACAAGCCAACAAATTGCTATGACATCATAAAGTGGCCAAAATCTGATCAGCTCATTTCAGACAGGTTTTTATATAAATGGATCAGGACAAAAAGTGAGAGAATCTTTTTTCCTGAAACTTTCAGAATGTCTGTACACAGAGGGGACACATGCTTATGTATCAGGGATGCAAACACAAGTATGGTGAAAAAAGAGAGAACTATTCGAAGCAGAAAAAAAAAGCGTAATATACCATCTCTGACAAAGGCCTGTGCTATAATGCTTCAATCAACTGGCTATTCTTTATAATATACTCAGATCAATAGGACACAGAGATGTTAAGTTATAAATCAAGGGTTTTTATTATTATTTACAGCAGGGGTGGGGAACCTTTTTCCTCTCAAGGGCCATTTCAATTTTTACAACATCCTCCGAGGGCCGTACAAATTATTGAACTCAACCTCTGCTTAAAAAAACTAAAATCACAGCCCATTCATTTCGCCTTTCTTTCATGTGTGCAAAGAAAAAGCAACCTCTCAATCCAGATATCTCACCATGACTCGCGCATGCATGCACGTGCACGGTTGTGGCATGACCACCAAAACAGAAAGATATGGACACAAGATGTGTGCAAATGTATTTAGTTTCCTATCCATGTGAACATGATTTAAGTGGGGGGGGGGGACCTAACCTCCTCTAGGGGGGTCCGGGGCATGCTCCCCCGGGAAGATTTGTTTTTAAATGTTGAAGTTAAAAGCATCAATCTGGTGCACTTCGAGAGCAACATTAAGAGATCTATGGATACATCTCTCAACACCCATATGAAACAGAACTGTAAGCAGATTTATTTTTCTTTATGGATATTTTACAAATCACTCCCCTTTTAAACTGTATTCTTGTTATTTTTAAAAACTTTTTTGTTACTGTCATATAGTATTTTATACCTGTTTTTCATTTAGTTTCTTATTTTTTTATAACTATAATGATCATATCAAGGTGTGCCTTAACCTCACTGAGCTGAGGTTATTTGAGCCTCTCAGCCTCTCAGGAGAGAGCTCTCTTCCACCTGGTTGTGGAAAAAGCTCTTTATATTCATTAGCATAGCAAGTTGGGCTTTCAACTAAAGACACAGCCACGCAAAAACTGCGGCATGTGTACGGCTCCTTATGGGTACTGCAATATTTGAAGTGCTGGAGCGGCGTTCCTATGCTCTCCGTCAACAATACACCACGTGATGACACGTTACGCTCGTGTTGTGTTCAAGGAACCTGTCCTTGGCCAGGAAAAACAGGCACTCTGTTTAATTATTTTGCGGTCTAGATTTCTTAAACATTTTTTGAAGTGAGAAGTTGTCCGTCAGTCCGTGAGTCGGACCCCCCCCCCCCCCCCAAAACGAAAAACTCTTCGGTTCTCCACGAATTACACAAGTCACCCAAATCAGCGTTAAAAAAGCGGGAGGTGCCGAAAAGAGACTAATTTGCATGCATGATGTATAAAAGAAATGAAAAAGAGGATTTTGCCTAATAGGTGACCTTTAACATCTGGGTCCAATTCCTCACCTTTCCTATGAGTTCCCCGAGGTCCAGCTGTTCGAAGGGGATGTCCCACTCCTGCAGGTAGACGCTGGTCTGGCTGGCCTTGCGGCAGATGGGGCTCTTCCATTGGTTCCCCCGGGAGCTGGGCAGGTCGTCCAGCTCGTCACACTCTCCGTCCGATCCCATGTTCATCCTGATGTCCTCTTCCTCGTCCTCCCCTTGATTCTCATCCTCTGCTTCCTCGTTATCCTCTTCCTCTTCATCTTCGACTTCAATTTCCTCCTCTCCTTCCTGTGAGACAATGGTGATTAGGGCTGCGTAATTAATCGACTTTTTTTCGAAATTGCAATATGGACGAGTGCAATATCGAAATCACAGCTAGCGCGATAATTAGGAAAGGCAAACAAAAACATTATTCTATATTAATTATTGCAGTATTTTACAGATTAGTTTGGGACAGATGTATATTTTGTAAATTGTGTAATTTTCTTTGTTGTATAACTTACATTTTTTGTTATGCATGCTTCTTAGTTTACATGAAGCTGTCTTAGGCTCTTTTCTGCTGTAACAGATATACATTTCCCCTCTGTGGGACGAATAAAGGGATTCTGAGATCCTCAACAAAAAAAAACTCAATCCCTTTAATATCGAAAAAGTATATCTCAATTGCAATATCAGTACTCGTTTCTAAATATGAAAACAAATTGATTTTTTTTAAATGATCAATCTAGGTATGTTATTAATATGGAAAGTATGAACTGATGTATTCATATCAGGGCTCTGCAACACAACTTGTAGAAATAAAATGGACCCTTCATCTCTCTTTGCATTAAACAGCTGATTTGAACATGTTCCTCTCTCACGATATGGGGAAAAGACTATCAGACAATAAAACCAGAATTAAAGCGGTTGTTTTCTCAAATACATTTACAACACGTCCAAAGGCGCTGTATGTCAAATGCACCATAGCTCCAGTTTTGGCAAAGAGTTTCAGGCTTCTCCAACAATACATCATACGATACACTATATAATAGTGCTACAGTATAGACAAGATGGTGCGTGAATAAGCTAAATATATTCAGATTAAACAGAATCAGATAAAATACTGAAAAAAACACTGGAATAATAGATACAAATGAATATGTGGATTAAAAAGATGATCAGTGTTGTGAACGTTACCTCTTCATCCTCATCTTCTACCAGCTCAGATCGTATGTCGTCCGCTGCTGGCTCTATCTCACTGCTGTGACACAGAGAACTGATATTAAAGGGGGAATCCATACAAAAAGTAACGGATGATTGTGTTTTTGCTGAGTGAACTTTTAATTACCTGGAATAGGGGTTATATTATTATTTTCTAATTGTCTGTGTCTATTAGCTTTCATCTGTGCTTGTGTTTCTGTTGTGTGTTTATTGGTTTGTATGCATGTACTTTTAAATGTGCATATGTGCTGTAATTTGTGTATGTGTTTGAACTGTGCTCATGTGTGTTTTTCCATAGGCTTATTTGCTTTTATAAATGTTTCAGTCTTCATTGCTTAATCTGGCACATTTACATGATGGACTCAAGTGGTCATATTCATTAATGTCCATTGCCTCTTTTAAATGAATAAATACAAAAATAATATTATTGTCTTACACAGTGTCTCGGAGGACATCAGGGTGCAAATGAGCAGGACTGGAGACATCTGTAAAGAGAAATAACCACGTTTAGGAGGAATTGAGGGGCAACAATGTTATCTTTTTTCATGTTTACTCCCTTTTCCTTTAAGAAAGATTCATGCTCCACAACATACTGAATATCACTGCACATGCAATATCCCCACCAGCAGATGGTGGCAAAAGGCTGTTAAGAGTCAACATGCAGTGAAGATGGATACAAGTTTAAAAGAAAACATGCAGAATACAGAGAGAAGATCTACGGGGTAATGTGATCTGAAGAAGGAGAATCACAGTGCAGTGTGACACTTTAGGACCATCAACTCACCGGGGAAGATAAACTGCTGCCTGTGCTGAAAGTAACAGGCAGCTTTTGCACAGACAAAGAGAGGGAAGACCGACAAGCATGGCAGGGAGAGAGACCTTTGGTTAGAGAAGCTTTGGATTAACAGACTTTGTCAAATGAAGAGCATTGTTCAGTGTTTAAAGGAGACACTACAGGTGAGTAAGAACAACATTTTAACTAATGGATATCATCAGGAAACTATCCCGTTGTATAAGGTGTTTTCTGAAATGTTTAAATAAATAACCCTTCTTGTTTCAATTTGCTGACATATTAAGAGTCAAAGGTTTTTACAGAAGAAATGTATATAAGGAAATATTGTCAACAGCTATAAAAAAACAGACATTTCTGCCATGTTTTCCTGAATTAAATCAAAGGAAAAATCTAACCATTAATGATAAATTCATTTAAAAAACCTTTAGAATATATATATATATATATATGTTTTATGTAAGTGCTACTGAATCGAAGATACAGTATGTGGCTGAGGGTATGAGAAAAAAGTCATATTAAGAAAAAACCTTTACAAATATATGTATTGTAAGAGACTACAGCTAAATATGAGCAACATTTTAAGAAATGTAATGTTTCTATGAAAGCTTTCTGAAATTGTATCTTCAAATGAGGCATTTTTTCATGCTAACTTTTGGTGATTATAGAATACTGTCAAGACGCCATTAGACAACGTTTTGGAAATAAACACATGTGTTTTTAATTATGTTTTCTTTCTCCTAGTCTGAAAGATCATGGAAGCAAAATTACCCAGACCTTCAAAATTGACAAGTGCATTACAAAAAAGATTTGTACTGTAATGTCTGACCTAACTGTAACATAGGGAGAGAAAGGGAAAGAGGAGGATGTTTGTAGCCCATACTATTAAATACTGGGTGATTGAGGGAGAAAAGTCATCTGTATTATAAGGAAAAATGTAAGAGTACTATCCTAGCATGCACGTTTTAGGATGTGCATCTGGAATGTTGTTTGTCTATCGGAGTTCCTGCTTCCCAGCGTTAGTGAGGCTCACCTGGGAAGTTGAAGCGGCTGTCCCGGTGGTTCTTGGGCGAGGGGTTGGGTGGAGGAGTGGCGCTTGGGGGGTTGCTCTGCTGGAAGGGCGCTGGGGAGGAGGGGGTGGAGGAGGTGGTGGAGGACGGGTTGCTGCTGGAGTCCAGCTGGTTCAGCACCGGAGGATGGTCCTGGTGGGGGCGCGCGGGGGGGGGGGGGGGGGGGGGGGGGGGGGCACAAACGAGACGATCAGAGTTGATAGTTAGGATGGCTTCTACAGCTGCTGAATCTTTGTTTTAAATTACATTTAGATTGTTCAAACTTCAAAGAGTATGTGCTGGATTGCATTGCTTGATGGCGTTCAGGGTGAAGAGACACATTTATATTCGAGAAACAATTATTAGGTTGGCATGACGGATAACAGCTGTAGAATATAATTTGAATGAATACCCTGTTCTTGTATAGTTTTGTATATATTGATATAGGAGTTTAGGAATATTTTGCTTACAGATTACACACACTTAATCACTGATTCTGCATTTCATTACCTAAGTTACCAATAATGTGTATTGCGAGAACCAAAAACTAAAAATGTGTCTTTAAAATTATTTATTTATACTTAAAATGGAAAATGATGTTGTAGTCAATTGTGTTGTGATCTTTATATGTACTTATTTTAGTTTCTAGTATGGTATTATTATTATTACAGCCCCTGTAAATGACTTTTAAATTCCTACCTTGAGAATTGCATTTCTTTTGTTTTTAAATGTTCTGAAAATTATCTTTCATTATCTTTTTTTTTTTTCAATAATATTTGAGGTCTTTGACCAAAAACGTTAAAATTGGATGACTCACAAGAGGGCTATTTTCTTTATAAAGCTATTCCCTGTGCCCTCCCGCTTTCACTACATTTGTTTTCTCTTTGTCTGTATAATGTTGTTGCATTGCGACCGTGTAACCATGTATCATAAAGAGGGCTTCACTAATCTTTACAATGTAATGAAGGGTAGATGGTGAAAGGTCCATGGTAAAATAACTAGAATTATTATAATCTTCTTCCCCAAACAAACACATGTAGAGTTGTCATAAGGCGAGGTCATCCAGGAAACAGAATGTGGATTCTGTCAAATGTGGTGTGAATTTACATATATTCAAATGTTCAAGCGCCAGAGATAGAACTCTAGTGTGTGATTTTATTGGAGTCCTGCGCTATGGCTTCATGAATTTACATAAGGTATCCTAGAGCTGGATGTAAACAAATATTTTCCAATACAGATTTAGAGCTAAACAAAAGCAAAGCCATATGTACGGCATTTAACTGCTTTGGGGTCAGTTCTTGATTTAAACATTAATATGTTAAAAATGCACCAAGTAAAAGGGGTTCTTCGTACAATTTACAGCATTATTTATCTGAGATTAGTATTCTAAGTGAAACATCCCTTTTTGAATAGATAATCGAGATCTTCAAATAAAATCAGGAAATCAGAAGTGATTCACAGCACTTGTTTTAAGGTGTCATAGTTTAGGATTTCACAATGGTTTTGTTATGAAGTGCTACACATAGTGCTACTGTGTGATGTAATGCAGAACTCCTAAGCCTCCCAAAACATTGATTTTACCTTTTTCGTGATGGCCTTTGGTAAAGTGCCAAACTGTGGTGCCTCTGGCGGCCGGTCCACAGGGTTGTTTATATCAGACGGAACGGACTCGGTCCTCCGAATTTTGGCGACTAGAGGACAAATTTAGATGAAATGACACAATGTACTTGGCGTGCACAACACATTTCCTCCATCAACTTTTAATGGATAAACTTACTTGGCAGAAAGGAGATTCTGCAGGATGGGGCTTCCTTGGTGCATTTGTTGTGGCACTTTAACCTGAAAGGAAAGTTCACAGAATGTCAAAACATGGCACCTAAAACCACTCATTAAATCCAGCTCCATGCACTCATGGCTAATGATTGAGTTCTGGATCATATCACTCCTATATTGGCAGCTCTGTACTGAGTCCCAGTAAAATCCAGGATATCATTTAAAATTCTCCTCCTAGCTTACAACGCCGTTAATGGTTTGTGTTTAGGAGGCAGACGACCTCTCCACATTTAATAGTAGGCCTAAGACTTCCTTTAAAAAAATAAAAAATAAACTCAGGCTTGCCTTGAACATCCTCCTTGAACTTTTATATGTTTTACAATTTTTTATTTGTATTTTCCATTTCCATTGCCCTTTTCTCAGTTGGATTGTCTATGTTGTAATTCAATTTCAAAACTGTAAAAGCCCCCGAGACAAATGAGTTTTGTGTTTTTGGGCTACGTACATACAATTTGATTTGACCTGCGTTCCCTTATTCTACATGCTTCCGTCTCAATAAAAAACATTTCAAGTTGAGTTGAATAGAAAGCCCCTAACTCACCGACAGTGTTTGCACTTCACCCCAAACATCATGTTCTTCTGGCACACCTGACATGTTTGGGACAGCCAGGACTTTGTTGAAAACCTACAGAAAACACAAGAAATGCTGTTAAATCTCGCCACTTATTTGATATTTGATCAATAACCCAGCTTGCTTCATGATGACATAAGGTTGATGAGAAGACATTGAGCGTCAGAGAAAGATCTACCTGTGTGTGACTGAGAGGCCGATGTCCCTCCTCACTGCTTGTGGGGAGTTGCGATGCCCTGCTACGTTATCTAGCCGGGGGAAAAGAGATGGGGGAAAAGGGGAGAAAGATTGAAGGGGAGTATAAGCTTGAGAAGAGAAAGACTGGTCATAACCCCGGTGGTTAATCACGTTAAAAAACTGTGCACTTAACTATTAAAACTATTGTTAAGTGCTCATTGGAACGCAGTTTAAACACATTTATGAAGGGTTTCTTTCACATAGAAATGATTGAGATCGAGCTCAAACACACACACTTGCACATGAAAGCATATTTTTGCCAACCAATTAAACATACTATGCTTATTTAGTCCAGAAATCCCTGTTATTATTGTAAACCATAATGGATAAACTCAGATTATTTTTGATGCTTTAAACTAGGGTTATTAATATAGAAAACTAAAATAGATACAGGCAGAAAAATATAAAATATTAACCTTATCCATTGAGAAAAACTAAAAATATATTGCCCGATTAAAAATCAAATCAAATCAAAAGTCAGTCAAAGTCAACTTGAATGTCAATATTACTCAGTTTGTGTTTACAGACAGAGAGATCGAAATGACGTCTCCAACAATGAACGTACATTTAATTCAGTTTAAGTTGCAATAGATCACTACAGGAAAAATGAGACCGCGTGAATTTCTGTCAACTATCGTGAGATAAGGATCTACAAAAATGAGAAGAATAATCCAATCCAAATAAAAGTCAACAAGTCGAAACTAACTTGCAGCAATCATACACGTATTTAAAAAAGGATGCATGCTCCCGACTCACTTTTATGGCTGCTGTGCTCCTCCATCAGGGTGGGGGTGCCGGGCAGAGTGTAAGAGGCTGTGGTGGCAGAGGGGGTGACTCCTGGGGTGCGTGCAGACATGACGGGGTAACGGGAGGGCGAGTCCTCACATCCATTCCCATTCACTTGCATATTCAGTAACAACTTATTCTTCTTCATACATCTGAAGAGAGGGAAAGCAAAAACAGGTCCGGTTTAAAGTCTACAATACCCCAGGTCTGCAGCCTCAACACACAGGCCCATTTCCAAACTGACCCCCTATTTTTGTATATTTACAGGGTTTGTTGCAAAAACAAGTAGCTAATAAACATCAGGTATAAGATCATTTACAAAAAAAGAAAAAAACACTTAAGTCATTTTGGAGTCTAATGACTATTTATTGTTTTTTGTCCGAGAGATGCCGAATCCAAACCATGGTAATGAACACTTCCTGTTTCTGCCGGAGAGAGAGGAGTTGGTCCCAAAGCTTTCTGCAGTATTTACAACCTCCACCTTAAAGCAGGAGCCTCCTTCAGCTGTGAGGGTGACTACAGACGGCGTTTAACCCGTCACGGAGTGGGAGGGAGTAGGTGTTGGTTTGGAATTGGTCCACAGACTGTTTAAGGTTAGGGTTATGTAAGGGCTATGGAGGCACGTTGAGTTCCTTAATAAATTTGGCCCGGACGGACAGGGTGACGAGCTTAACACCCGGACGGAAGGCACAAGCAAGCATTTATTTGCATGTGATTTAACAATAACAATCTCTATTGTACCCATGTCTGTAATGAATTGGCATCATAAATGCAAAGTTCCATGTTCTCCACAAATATATATTTTTTTATTTAAAAAGTATTCCATGGTGTTTTCTGATGGATGAAAACTAATGTTTGTTGTGATTTCTTTCTGCGGACTGATATGACTCTACATAGTCCCTTGATCCTGGATTGTCTCTGTGTGTTAGATGCATTGGATCCATGTCAGCCGTATTTATTTCAGCCTTTGCCTTTTTTCTTTCTCACCAAAGCTTTCCATAAACAGACAGGATATTATGGATAAACATGGCTTGTTTGTGTATGTGCATCTAATCACAATATAAAGAGCAAGATAGATTTTGTGTGTTTTGCCAACTTCCTGTTTTGACATGAGTCTTAATCTCTGGGAATCTGTGCGGGGATAAACTCCTCTCATCCAGCCGGAGCAAAGGAGCAACAGGCAGGAAGTGGAAGCATGGAAAAGAGGGAGATAGAGAGGGAGGGAGTGGGAGTGTTTCTCAGGAAAACTCTGCGTCTGTGCAGACAACAGTGTAAGGCCGAGGTGTGAAAAAGACAGGGAGGCTTTCAGATAAAAAAAAAAAATAGCATCCACCCAATTTCTGTAAGGCCACCATGATTATGCTAGTTTAAGCAGGCTACGGCACCCACTGCTGCGTTCATGATAACAAATTATTTTACTAACTGCAATTTTTTTTTGCATTTTTTTTACAGGGGGAACTATTAGGTTTTTTGGGGTTTTCCCTTTTCTGTCGTGTATTATATAGGTTTTTGTGGATGTAAATGGTCTGCAAAGGCTAAAATCCAAAAGTTCCCTCCAGAGTGAGTTTCTCCTCCCCCCCCCCCCACTAGGGATGGGTATCGTTAACCTGTTAAGCCCTGCGCCTGTTTTTCAGGTCTCAGGCTCGAAAATGACATTCCCAGAGCAAATGACCATATCCTCCCTTCTTAAAGGGTTAAATTAATAATCTTTTTTCTCAAAGTAATGATAAACCTGTGAGTTGGATGTAGAAAAGTCAGAATCAATATAGATGTTTTTATTTTAAAGAAAATTCAGATTTTACATAGTAAAAAACTGTAAATTATAGTGTCCGTCCAAAAATTATTTTTTACTTATAGTGAAAACCACCCTTGGATGATGGTAAGGTAGACTAAAAGTCTAAATCCAAAGTACAACATATAATAAGTACCCTGTATCAAGATTGATGCAAAACAAGTGACATTTTACCTTTTTAGAGAGATTTAGCAAATAAAAAACCCTTCTGGGGTCATTTGGGTGGATTTTTCATATCTCTGGCCCCCCTTGCTCAATTTTGATGGTTGATACCTCTTTCTGACCGTTAGAGCCAATATAATCGAAGGGGGAGTCCCCCACACACACACACACGTTGTGAAACAAAAAGGTGAGGGCTTTGCGCATGTAATTTTGCATTAGAGTGAAGCTACACTCTAGCTCTGATATCTAGAAACGGAAAAGCATGGATTATCCGTCTCATTGCTCATGGATTATCAGAAATCCTTTCAAAGGGACACAGACACATTGGATTAACCTATGGATTAACTTCAGCAGCGTTTTTATCGTTTTAATGCCATTGAAGACCACTTTGGAGAGACTACAGAGCCAAGGTAACCTTGTTAGCATTTTTAGCTACCTAGCGTCAAATGTTTTGAGGTCTGTTTTTGCTTATAACATCGCGATTTCGTATAATTCAGTGATAATGAGGGTACCCATCGATTCTGTGTCACCTCACGATGTGAATCGATGTCATGTATGTAGAGAAAAGATAAATAATAAGGTTTTGTGAGTGATTTTCGGTGCAGTAATCTGTTAGCATTTTTCGCTCGTTGCTAATTCAGAGGCTCAGTGTTAGCATTGTGGGTTTTCTTTTGAAAAAAAAAAAAAAAGATCAGTTAGATGAGTTTCTTCCCGTTACATGGATATAAAACATTCATAGTTTATTAAATGAACATGCCCTCAGACACTGTTTCCTGCAAGATGTTGCGGCAGTGCCCCGGTACCGGGGTCTCTCAGGCTTAACAGGTTAAGGTTTTAACAGTACTACTACTTTTATCGATATCGCTCTTACTCTTTCACACCAACGCGGTTCCAGGGCCGGTTCGGAGCTAGAGCTTGAAAAGCACCGGTTTTTCCTGTTCACACCGCAGCGGAGCCGCCTCTAAGCTCCGGAATCTGGTTCGTTTCAAGCACCAAAAAGTTGTCGGTCTAGAAAGCAAGCACCGCATACGTCACGCTTATGTCGGAGGCGGGGGTAGGGGCATCAGTTTAATGTTATACCATAGTAATTAATGCTGCAAAGCTGGGTATTTTGAGCTTGGCGCATGCAGAGGCTAACAACAGCTAGCTCTAACGCCATCGATGAGGACGTATATGTACCTTCTTTCTCCTACGGAATCGTCGTTGAAGTTGATGATGATTGTAAAGAAGTCTTGAATGTAGCATGTAACGACTGTAAAGTTGGTAATAAAGTCGTCCCATTTCTTCCATTTCGTTTCGACAGAGCAAAACCAAAACGAGTAGCGCTTCAATACAATCGGTCATTGTTGTTGTTGTCTATGTGAGGGGTTTCCGCGCGGTTTGGCTTTATGAAGCAGGCACGCAAACGATGACGCAATGACGCAGCACCAGTCGGGCTCTGAGCAGTGTGAACAGAGCGGGAGCTGAACCGAAGAACCGGTTCTGAACCAGAAAAGCTCTAGCACGGAGCTAGAATGGGAAAAGCCTTGGTGTGAAAGGGGCATTATCAGTTCTTTTGGAGAAAAACGCTTCTATTGTAGTCCCGTGTTTCCTTCCGCGACATAGTAACATCACTCGCGCTTCTATTGGTTAGTGCTCCAACACATTGTACGTGATAGGCTAAGGGGCGGGACATCTCTGAGCAATTGACCAATCACAAGGGGCCGGCCAGCTTACCAATCAGAGCAGACTGGGCTCTGGTTTCAGACAGAGGGTGAAAAGAGGTTCAAAAAGCTCTTTATTTTTCTCATACTGCCTGTACTGTATGAGAAAAATAAAAAGCTTTTTGTATAAAGCGTCACAGTAGAGGCAGAAAATACTAATATCAACCCGAAAAGTTGCATTATAGGTCCCCTTTAAGAATGCAACAGTATTGTTGTAAAATAACATTTAAAGAAACTCTAGTAATGTCTAGTTCAAACAGCTTTCTGAGCGCCTACTTGTTGGTGGGGGGGTCCTCAATACGGTTGCCCAGCTGGGACTCGTGGCTCTTGCTGCGCGTCAGGGTGATGTTGGGGAGCAGGTGCTGAACTTTGCGGGACGGAGGCGGAGGCGTGCAGGGGGGCTTCAGTCGGTGTCGCCTCTTGGAGGGCGGAGTTATGGGCGGGGTGGATGTGCGTCCGTGGAGACGGGCGGTGTGGGATAAGGCCATGGGGAACGGGTCTGTCAGAGGGCTCTCAGTGTGGCCGTAGGAGGCCAGCCCATCAGGCGTGGGCACCGCCGACACAGAGCCCGAGCGGTGGTGAGGGAACACGGCGCAGGGGGTGGATGGGGTGGAGTGGACGGCTGATGGGCGGGCGAGAGGCGAAGGACTGTGAGGGCGGAGCGGGGTCCCCAGCCCGGTCAGCTGCTCCGCGGTTAGGAGAGGGCCACTGTCCCTCCTGAAGGGCTCCGACATCCAGGGAACGTCATCTTCCCTCAGCTCACCTCCTGCACAGAAGGAAAATTCCGTATGAAAAACAAGAAGAAAACAACGTGATCCATGCTGACTATAAAAGGCTCCTGTGGAGAATACCCATACCTGATTCCGAGGCACTCTTCAGACAGGAGAGGGCAGCACTGAGCCGGGCACATTCCTCTGAGCTGGACCCCAGCCTTCGCATGGTTTCCCTCACCTGAGCACCTGACATCTGCAGCAAGGCATCCAGGGAAGACTTTGCTTCCACTGCCTGCAGACAAACAAAAAGAAGGGGTGAGAGGTCAGTATAAGAACAAGCAAAAAGAGAAAAGATATATATAATTCATAATTGGGAAGCTCCAAAAAAGGAAAAAAAATAACAACAACAACAATAATGGGTAATCAGAAACAAGGTTTAAATAGTCATCAGGCTAATGGTGGTCCTTTGCTAAATCTTAATAGACAAGGTGTATTTTAGTATGGTTTTAAACCTGTGTTATACAAGTGAAAACAAGACCAAGCTTGAACTAGGATTCAATTAAATGTCTACTGTATATGAGCTGGGCAATATAAAGAAAATCACATTTCATCGTTTCTTTTGTAATCCAAATACTTCAATATTAGGATAATATTGTAGGGTTGACCATTGGTGCCTCCACAAAATATTGACACAATGAGAATTTGTATAAATAGTCATCATGAAGTTCTTAAATCAAATCACTTTTCTGTAATGCTGCCTTCAAAACCATAAAAAGACATGTTACAATATCAAAAATCTAAGCAGATATCTAGTATATAATATCTATATTATACCCAGCTAGAGTGTCAATGTATTACTTTGTATTCTTTCCTTTTTATTCACATCACTCAGGATTTGGTACACATCTAAACAATGGTGCTGTCTAAGATATGAGTGATCACTGAACAGAAGGAGGCTTGACAGCAGCTAACAGGAAGACAACAGACATCACAACATTCTGAAAGTAGAGGGTAACATTAGAAAGCCAAGATCAAGTGGGAGTAGCACTGGTAGGCTACAAATTAAAAGTATAACACTCAGGCAAGACACTAATACTTGTTTGCTTAGAATAAACTTAGAAGACTAAGCACCAACAACCACTCGTAATTTATACTCAACGTTTAAATGTGAATCAGCTATTTTATCAAAAAATGAAGAGACGGTAAAACACTCCTTAAAATCAAACATTAACTTAGACTATTTAAACTAGCTTAGCCCTTGTTGGCTACAAACACAAATAACACAGTGGTCATGTATTTGGATGTATCTATTAGACGTGCAATGACAACAATAATTCATCAAGTTACAATGTATTTGGTAAAAACAAACAAAGTCTAAAAAAGTGTATTGCAAAAAGCAGATAAAAGTCAATTAAGGAAATGTAGGTCACAGGCCGTTAGCAACACCACAAACTGTTTGTGTATGAAACAAGGAAATATGAGATAGTCCAGTGCGCTGAGGATGTTTTTCTGACATGGGAAGTACGCAATTGCTTATCAGTCAGGTTAAACCTTTGATCGGAGAGGGCAACCAATGATCCCAAAACTAGGGCAGCCTCCCACACTCATGTGTACACTGTAAGCAAGAGAAAGCACACACGCATATAGACACACAAACACACGAGAGTGAGTGATGTGATATTCCAAAAAGGCTGTGGGCCCTGCCTCCCCTCCCACCTACTCATAATAACATTACAATAATAGCACCACGAACAGCATGGCTTGTCCTGCATACATGATTGCTGTACTGCGCCGTCATGACACAGTATTATTGGTCAGAACTGCTATGCATGTGTACCATAGATAGAATAAAAGTAGTGGATGTGGAATCTCAACAACACCCATAGATTTGTGAACAATGATTTGTCTGGAGGAGACTATTGTGAGAGTATTTTTCTTGTATTGCAAACTGAGGGTTACCATCTACACATGACATCATTGCGGGGGTCGCCATCTTGTTTTTTGCATGACCTGTCTATTTTACTCTAAATGTAAATGGTACCATCAATTAGGGCTGTGCGATTATGGCAAAAATCATAATCACGATTATTTGGGTCAATAATTGATATCACGATTATTAAATGCGATTATTCATTGACTTTGAAAAAATCCATTTATTGAACTTTAAAACAAATACAAACAATAATTTGAACAGTATCTTTTTAACTGTTGATTACCCTGAACGTATAATTCAACTGAAAAACCAATACAAAAATAAATAAAATAAATGATACATTTAAATAAATAATATCAAAATAATAAATACCAATAAACAAGATCAACAAATATTTTGGAGCGCACTTCCACAAGCTACTAAACATATATAAATATGATAAATTCAAATAAATGAGACCAAAATGAATTAGATCAAATATGTCACAACCTAGCAAAGCAAAATAGTTTTTTTCGATTATGTTGTTTTCGTAATTGTGGCAGGCCAAAATCGTAATTGCGATTAAAATACGATTAATTGCACAGCCCTACCATCAATTATACACTTCACATCAAGCCACCATGGAACATAGCGTTTGAGTCCATAAACTTATTAGGAAAATGTTTACGGAGGTTACAAATTTAGGTTGGTCGTAGGGTAATTTTCTTATAGACTTCTATACAATATGCATGAGATCATTATGCATCCAGTGGCCATTAAAAATCATGCAGGTGAAAATCGCCTTCACTTTACAAAACTCGATTTTGCCTCTTGATGTGAACACATAGGCTACCTTTAAAAGTTTCAGAAAATACTACTCATTTAGACAGAACTGTTAACAAATACACCTCTATCAAACGAAAATGCACTCAGGCAAAATGAAGATTACAACTATTTTTGTAATATTTTCAACAAAATAGGGACATTACTAGTCTTGCACTGTGAATGCTCACAATGCTTTGGCAACCGTTCTTCTTGTAGCGCGTTAATCAAGTGCGCTTAGCGGTGACACAGACAACATTAATTAAATCAGAGAAAGACACACATGGCCATTTAAGAAGCTTGCCAACATGCCAGTGGTACAACATGATGCAATGCCTCACTGTAAGCATAACGCTAACTTTTGGTGAATTTGAGCTCTCTGTCAAACAAAATTGTACTTTGCCTGTAATTTTCAACAAATATTGTAGTCTACTAAAGCCTGTTCCTAAAGATATGTAAGACTTTAACAAACAGAATTAAGTTGAAATTCCTGACCCATAAAAAAAGGAGCTGTCCATTCCCCCAACAGATCCCAAAAACATAGTAGTTAATAAATTGCATGAAAGAAATGTGAAATAAGGATTTTTCTTTTTTTAAATGATCAATTCCTTGAATATGATGAGCATAAATAAAATGGCAGTGCTCCTCTTTTAGAAAGAGATTCTGATGGTCATGGGTCAAGTATTCCTCATGTACATGTGAGCGAGGGACTGAGTACACAAACAGAATCCACATTAATGTGACAGGAGCACAGTCCTTCAGACAGAGAGGGTGAGGGGAGACTGATATTAACAGAAAACGGCGTGACCCACCTGGATGAGCTCCGGCCGCAGGTTGATGGTGCGAAGCCAGTCTCTTAAGTGCGGGTAGCGTTCCAGAGCCTCGGGCCTCTCCGTCTCCGGCACTTTCTGCTTGCACTGCAGCTGTTTACAGATGTATTTCATCAGCTTCACCTGCAGGGGAGCAATAGAGAACAGATGAGGGGGGGGGCAGGTTAGAAGGGGAGACTCACAGTGTGCTATGAGCTCCAGCTAAGGAGCAGGCCTCCAATGTCCCACCGTGATGTAGGAAGTGGACTCTTTTAGTGAGATTACAAAGAAATAAGCAGTATGTGTGTAGTTCTTTCAATGAAATACCGAACACAACTCTTTGGAGCAATGACAAAGTAACTACTGGCTATTGTGGATTTTATAAAAGTGACATAACGTCAAAAAAGGGCAAAATCTAACTTACATTTATCAATATAGGTGCAACAAGGATTTTTATTACCTGTTCATCTCAGTATATAAAATGTCAGAAATAGTGAAAGATGTCCAGTTTTTCTAATTCCAATGCGATGTCTTTAAATGTTTTGTATTGTCAGTCTAAAACCAAAACGTATTATTTTTAATAAGATACAAACAAGAAAAAAAGAGGAAATCTCCACATTTAAAAACTGCATTATTGCATTAAGGATTATATTAACAATGAATGGATTATCAAAATAGTTGTCCCTTATTTTTCTGCAGACCTTCTGATCTACTACTTTTAGAGTTCACCCAAGCTTATACAGGCTAACAGTATTTATTTACCATCGACGTACGCCTCTTCAATAGAATAAAAGGTCACATGAATTACTCCATACTTCCGTTTTGAACTCAATGTACCTGCAGTAATGATCCCAGTGTTTGTTTAACCCAATTTCCCAGTTCCCCCAGTGCAGAAGACAGTTAATTAGATCTAAAGACTATTATCACAGAGAGGAACAATGAGCTGGTCATCTAATGAGAGCATCTGCGGTGCTGGCACAGCAAACAAAGAGTGTTTGGAACACGAAGCAGCTCGGTGACATAATGAAGAAAGTGCCATATGACCAGACCATTTTCCAGTTTGTTTCAGAGGCACTCCACCACAAACTCCTAGAAAACATTGTGTGGAATTGCACCTTTTGTCTGGTACTGCTGGAAAAATGTTTACTGAAGTTTTAAATTAAGTGCGAAGTCATTTTTCTCATAGACTTCTATAAAATCAGTCTTATATTATTTTTAATAATGTTATTTTGTTTTAAGTACACAGTCAATCATACAGTGTTACTATTGATAACAGTGCTTATTTATCCATTTAAATTCTCAAGAAGTTTAAGACATTGGCATTAAATCAAAATATCAAATAAAATAAAACCACAAAACCATAACAATAGCTAAAAAAGAATCTTTATCTCTGATGCCCCAAAAAAACCTGACAAATAAATTCTTTATACTCCTAAGATTTGGAACATTAATTTCTTAAATGTTAAAAAAACGCAAATATTAGCTTTAAATCAGAATCAGAATACCTTTATTCATCCCAGAGTGGAAATGTACATTTGTTACAGCAAATAAAGAGCCAAAGATAGCTTAACATCAATCATGAGCATGCATACAAATATTAAAAATAACACTAGAAATTACAGTATTTACAAAATATACATCCAGAAACAGTAACATTTTAGCGATATAGCAGCCAGGTGAAAGTATTAAAAACTGGAAGTATATATATATATATATGGCACAGCTAAAATAATAATAATAATAATAAAACAATTCTTGTCTCTTACTCGGCTTAAACCCAAAATGTTCCCAAACCAAAGAAAAGGACGATAAGTCGATAAGAAAAACATATACAATATATTGGCCATATATTGTATATTAAGAATTATCCTCACAAGCTTTTCCCAATTAGCCATAAAAAGTGTGTGGTATAAAAGTTACATAGCATAATAAATATATTCCTCTGTGAAAATAAATCATTGCCTTTTTTCGACTTATACCTCCTTATCCTCTCCAAACAGCTTCCTAATGTCTACACATTCAGGTGGCGCTGCTGATGAAGATGAGAAGAAGAACAAAGGCTTGCCTGTTGCTCAAGGTAGTAGCCTACTGACACACAGTAACCTCCCCTTACAATCTTCCTCTTACATCTGCTAATCAGCCCAGGTGAAGACCGTCGTCCCAGCGCATCTCATATTCACCCGCATATAAAAGCTGTGAGACTTTACCCACCATGCTTTGAAAGCCAATGTCAAGTGCAGTGGTCCTGTGAGTAAGTATCACAATGAACACCGTGGTATTGGCTTGCATCGGCCGCGTTGTGCCGTATAGTGTGTCTCCTTATCTCGCAGTCTATCTATGAGAGTCTATTACAGCAGGCAGCACCTTCAGAAGAGCTGTGTGCGACACCAACTAGCTCTCGAGTGCCGGAGCTACAATGGGGAGCGCGCGGCTTTCTCTGCTCATTTAACTTCCATTCCACAAGCACACAGGAGCTCATGCAGCCCTGATACTCTCAAAAGTGCGGCCTTGGGATGTGAAAAGGCTGCTTGGTAGCAGCTAACAAAAGCATCTCCACTGAGGGCCGCGGAGATGAAAGAGGATGGAGAGGAAGTAAATGCTCTCCGTGTTGACGCTGACTGCAGCTTTTCAGCTCTGCAATTACTCAGCTTTTATGAGGTTGCACTCAAGGGCATTATAAAATAATAAAATGGCATGCATTATTGAATGTAAACTGATAAAATGGATGTTTGAAAAATATTACAAGCATAGACCGTGTCATGAAAGCTGATTGATACTGAAGAAAACAAATGCAAAATAACTGTGCCTAGTCATCTTCATCCATTCAAAAAGCATAAACACCTGCTCATTCAAAAGTCTAGTGTAGTAAGCTCTTTCACTCTTTAAGGGCTGTGTTTATAGGATGGAGGGGTTTTAAGCTCACAGCTAATGGTAACTCAGCTTGTTTTTGTATTAAAAGGCCTATTCTGCTCATTTTCAGGTTCATCTTGGTATGTTGTGCCTCTACTCTGACATGTTTATATGCTTTAATGTTCAAAAAGGTCTTCATTTTTTGCTGCAGCACCTCTTTTCACCCTCTGTCTGAAACCAGAGCTCAGTCTGCTCGTATGTGACAGGCTAAGGGGAGATGTCCCGCCTCTTAGCCTGTCACGTCCAATGGGTTGGAGAGCTACAAGCGCAAGTGTAACATAGTGATGTCAACATGAAGTACACAAAGGAGTCCAATGGAGGCGGTTTATAGCAGTTTCACATTCAAAATCGTAAAAATGTGGATATAAACTTAAAAAAACTTCAATCAATTACTGCTTAAAGCTAGTTACTCAACTCAACAAAATGTATTGCATAAATCTATTGGTATAATACATTTAATGTGGAAATGTTACATATCCTAACCTGATTTTGGCATTCTTCTGAATAAATATGTCCTCCTGAGACCCAGAAAGAAAAAGGTTTAAAATGTCCTTTTTTTAGATCACACAAGTCTTTAGGGTGGTATTATATATTTTTTTATTTTTGTTTTATTGTGTGTCCTTTGTAGAGGACATCGGGTGTTAGTTATGCGAAGCATAGTATACAAACAACATTAACATACAAGTACATTTAGACAACATTAGAGCACAACAACTCAATGCAACAAATACTGAGCCCTCATTTGTAGTACTCCATCCTTTTTTGAAATGCAGAGATACATCTGACACTTGAGGCACTTGATGTATGTTTTCCCCGTGCATCCGTCTGCCATGAACCCTACAGAAACCTACGTGTTAGTGTTGGCCCATAGTGGACTCCATTTGTGTTGTGTAAAATGGGGGAAATAAAGAGTTAGCAAATCCCCATGTCCTCCTCAGAGGACATTCATAAAAACATTTAGTTTTAGGTCAAATCATTATTACACTGCTCTGAAAACTCACTACACTAACTCCTATGATGTCCCCTTACTATAATTAATTAAACATATTGAACTCACAACACTGGTAATTACAAACTTACCATTTCTCTTTCTATAAATAGTGCTTGTATTGATGGACGCCATTTTGAAATACAATGAAACTAGGCTTGTTTGAGACAAGCGAGACCTGCGCAGACCTGCGCAATTGCGATCAACGTCTTGCTCGTGCGTTGCATGATGGTTAGTCATTTTGTCCGACTTGCTCTGGAGGCTCGCCTACATGAGACGTTGAAATCTCGCGGGACAAAGACGCCCGCAGACTTGAGAGCGAGGCGCGGCGCAGTTTCTCTCCCCGGGCTGCGGAAGCGAAATGCTTGATGGGAAACGACTCGCTGGTATCTCGAGCTGAGCGCTCATTGGTGGGTTTTACCCCGTGCTGGTGATGAAACTCTCCATTGGCTCGGCAAAAGTGTGTTGTTTTGTGTCCGTTTTACGTCGCCACTTCCATTCACATTTGTCATCATTGTTCCACAATGTTTATCATCATAACATTAATATCTATATATTTTATACTATACTTGCACTGCTTACCGTTGTCATACTTTATCTTAGCATATTCATACAACACACTGTTCATACTAGGCTAGGCTACTGTGTATATAGTGTATTCATACCCCTCACTGTTTTTTCATCATTCAATTCATTCTATATTTTATTCTGTAGATTGTGTACATTACTTTTCACTTTACTGCTTTATGCACTCCTGGTTAGAAGCTAAACTGCATTTCGTTGTCTCAGTACCTGTAATCTGTGCAATAACAATAAAGTTGAATCTAATCTTGAGCAGGAACAAATGTATTTACTTAGTACATATCTGACATTAACGATTAAACACATTTGTCCATTCTTTATCAATCAATCAATCAATGTTTATTTATATAGCCCAATATCACAAATGTTACATTTGTCTCAGTGGACTTCACAGTTTGTACAGAATATCAGTATGACAATACGACACCCTCTGTCCTTACGTTTCACATCATACAAGGAAAAACTTCCAGAGAAAAAGCCACAGTTTAAAGGGAAATGGGAGAAACCTCAGGGAGAGCAACAGAGGAGAGATCCCTCTCCCAGGACGGACAGACGTGCAATAGATGCCGTGTGCATTTATAAATGCAAACCGAGTCAAGCCGACTCCGGAGGTGGCAGTATGCACCTTAAAGTTGTTTGAAATCCGCCCAAAAACCGAGAGAAG